TCCTTCCTCATCTAGATCCATTAGTGAAGCAGTTCAACTCTACCCTGTCCTCTTTTTTCTTCTTTTTTTTTCTTTTGGCTAGGCAATAGGGTTAAGTGACTTGCCCAGGGTCACACAGCTAGTATGTGTTATGTGTCTGAGGCTGGATTTGAACTCAGATTCTCCTGAATCCAGGGCCGGTGCTCTATCCACTGTGCCATCTAGCTGCCCCCTGTCCTCTTTTTTCTTAAAAAACCATTTCATCAGCCCTTTCCCCCTCCCCCTCAGAGTAGACACATATATCATCTCCCCATATTTGAATGTAAGCAGTTTATATTTGTTTATTCCTTTATCATTGTTCATTCATTTTACCTTTTGATGTCTTTCTTTATTCCTGGGTTTGAACATCAAAGTTTCTCTACAGCTCTGGTCTTTTTATTAGGGATGCTTGGAAATCCTCTGTTTCCTTAAAGGCCTTATAGGCTGGGTAGTGAGACCCTGTTTTGTCCCTGGGATCTGAGCTACTGTACTGCAACTGGCTTCTGAACTTCCTCTTTTCTTGATATATTGTCCAAAGCCTTCTTGGTGGGAACACCAGCCATTGTGCCTTGGGTGTGTGACCCACAGTTGGGTAGCAGGCAACGAAGCTGCCATTTGGCATCTGTCTCTCCATTGCGGTTCCCAGTTATAAGTTTGGGGGAGTCCTGGTTTAGTCTGGGCCCTATTCTTGCCTTCTTGCCTTTGCGTCTTCATGGGGGTTGGAATGTTCTGCTTGAGGGATGCTTCTGCCACAAGCCAGTCCTTGTCTATTTACCTGTGCCATGCTTGGCTGGTAAATGACTCATTGTGACTTTTCCTCCACATCAGGAGTTGGTCTAGTGCATTTTCTACATCTGTTTGGAGGAATTTGTGGACTGGAGTCCACCTCAGTGCCTCCTATCACTCCTCCACCTTGGCTCTTTCCTACACTCTCCTGCTTGAGTCCCTTTCCCTTGCTGCTTTGTGGTACTGCCAATCTTGATCCACTACCCAGGGTACTTTCCCCCCCTTTCTTTCCTCCTCTCCAGCTGTTTGTTTACTCACAGGCTCAGATGAGGTAGAACTGCACTCCTTCTGATGAGATGGAGTATCACCAGGCCTTTTATCTACTCTACCACTGCCTTCTGTTGTCCTGTGGGCCTTTCCAAATGCCCCATATCAATGTGCACTCTTCCACTCTCAACTTATGTAACCTAGAGACCTCTAGGCTTTGCCATCTGCCCCTGCTACCTTAGACTTTCTAGGCCTTTATACCTGCCCTGTAGTTGAACTTTTTTTTTTCATTCTTTTCTTTTTAAATTTCTTTTTAATTTTTAGCAATCACTTCCATATGCTTTTGAGTTTTAAATTTTTCTCCCCTTCCCTTCCCGCCTCCCTCCCCAAGACGGCGTGCAGTCTGGTATAGGTTCTACATATACATTCCTATTAAACATATTTTCATGTTAGTTATGTTGTAAGGAAGAATTAGAACCAATAGGAGAAACCACAAGAAAGAGAAACAAAACAACACAGAAAAAAAAGAGCAAATAGTATGCTTCAATCTGCATTCAAACTCCGTAGTTCTTTCTATGGATGTGGACAGCATTTCCCATCGTGAGACTTTTGATGATCCTTGCATTGCTGAGAAGGGCTAAGTCTATCAAAGTAAACTTTTTTATGTGTTGTTTCCCTCTTTTAGAGAACAGAACTGCCTTGATTTTTTCTGTTTTTATCCCTCTCACTTAACATTGTTCTTGACACATAATAAATGCTTAATAATTGTATTTTCATTCATTCATTCACTGTTTCAAGAAACTTTGTGCCAAAAAACAAGCTACCCATCACAATAATATTATTATGATTATTTTTTGATGTAACAAAAATGAAAATTGTAAATAATCTTATCAATAAAAATCAGTATTTATTAAATTGTTTTATGTATTTAAGATTGTTATAAAATTATAATAAATTAGTTTTATTTGAGTAAAATACACACTGAGAAAATTATTTGCACAGATTGTCTCAGGAAAAATGTGGAAGCAACAACAATTTTTTCCCTAAAAACAAAGGACATCACTGTAAAATTTGGAAACCATTGGTGTAACTTAAAGTCTTATAGTTGGAGACTAAATTCTGACTTAAATACTTGACATCAAAGATTTATTCTAAATTAGGATCTTTGGGGGAAAATAGCTGGAAGGAGAAGAATAAGAACTGATTATTGGATTTAGGGGTTCTAGAGTTTAAGTTTGATTAAAAAGTTGCCTCCAATTGCGTGACTTAAGAATTCTGAAACATGACTTGTCATGATGAGACTGACAAAACATAATGACTAGGAAACTTAGGTTTGGGACTTATTCTGCATGCTCTGAAGACGGAGTGATTTAGCTTAGTTTATTCCAAACTAAATAGTCTTTACTTCTTTAGTGAAGTTCCTCCCTGAACCTTTGATCTCTGAGACCACCAAACTAATTGTTAGGGATCTTTTGAGACAAGAGCAGAAGAATCCAAGTTATGAAGAATATGGGTAGCTCTTCAGAAAGGCCTAGATAAGGGGCAGGTAGATGGCTGAATGGATAGAGCACCTAGGTGGCTCAGTGGATAGAGTACTGGCCCTGGAGTCAGGAGGACTTGAGTTCAAATCTGGCCTCAGACACATAATATTAGCTGTGTGACTCTGGGCAAGTCACTTCACCCCAATTGCCTCACCAAAAAAAAAAAAGACCTAAATAATACTGAGCATTTTTCATTTTCCTAGGTGCAAGAATAGGATCATAGTAATCATTGTTGTGGCCTAGTCTGGGCATCTTCTCTGTCTCTAGTAACCAATTAATATGAGCTCTTGATTTGTGTACACATTGAATAGTAGGAAATGAACTAAGAAAAGTATTATCCCATCCTGTGGCTCTTAATTAGCATTACTAGGGGTAGCAAATTCCAAATTCTTTGCAAGCCAGTAGCAGATACAAACTAATGATTTCTACTTCCTCCTATGTTTTTTTTTCATAATCAGTGAAGTTAGTTATTTTGCTTGTATATATTTTGCATATCTTTATATCTGTATATGTTGTTTTCCCCCAATAGAATGTAAGTTTCTTGAGGATGAGAACTGTGATTTTTGTTTCTGTGTCTGCACACAGTGCCAGGCACAAAGTGGGAACTTAATAAATGCTTTTTGATTGATGATCTTACGATCTTGGAGGAAAATTCTTAAAGATGTGTAGAAGCATTTATGTTAAGATTTTTTTTAGGTTAGAATTATTAGCATCTACTTAGAAATTTTTTAATTATGCCACATATAAGATTTGCCCTATTATCAATCTATTCCCCGCTCTCCAGAGAGGGTATAGTTTCTATTTCTAAAAGATAATTTGGTGTAGCTTTTGTATGTAGCACCAGAGTTAGTTATTAGTAGAACATTTGTGGTAAAGGTGGATACAAACATTTTCCCCCTTCTAAACATCACTGTTGAAAATTTACTAAGCCATCTCCTTAGTTTGTGATCTTAACTTTATAATCTTTGAAATAATCTTGTTTGAAATTATAATAAGCAGAAAATTTCTCTTATTTGAATATTGATAGTAAATCAGTTTTTTTATTGAATCATATGATTTATTTCCTAAGTTTTTAATTTTAAATTCATTGACAGAATCAAGTACTGAAAGTCTTTATGAAATTATTCTTGGTTGGTTACATTCCAAAACCATTGATCCCTTTTTAGCAGTTAAAGAATCTTTTGGTGTTAATTTTTTTTTGTTGGACTATACCAGTGATTTCAATGGTATAAAGAACTCTTGGTAAGGCTATTTCTTCCACTGTTGCGAACTGGCAACTGCTTTGAATTTATAGTTTTAAAGAGCTACGTGGGGCAGTGGGAAGTAGTGACAGGCCCAGGATTACATAACCCATATTTGTCAGATTCAGAACTTGAATCCGGGTCTTCATGACTGAGGCCATTTCTTCATGCACTAAACCATGGCACATCCCATAACTTGGTGCTAATCTCTTTAATAATTTAGAATTATAGGATTGAGATTTTGGAAGTAGAAGAGATTTCAGAAGTCATATGATTTAACTCATTTTGTAGATGAGACTATCAAGGCTGAGAGAGGTTAAAATGACTTATTAAAATTCATAAGTTAAATATTGGTAATGGTTGAAACTGTAGAATTGGTTGCTCTTAGGTAAAGCATTTATTCCTTTATCTCATTGACATTGGCTATGAAAGTCTTTAGGAAGTTATAGAATTTTTATGGCTCAGAGATATCTCAGTTGGTCAGGATGTTTTAAGGGTTGAGATGTTAATTTGTAGATTCCTCTATCAAAGAACTATAGAAGGGCTTATTATCTGATCTTTTGCAATATACATTAGTTATATTCTTGGAAGCTAACAGTGGATAGTTGTATATAAGGCTAATTAATATTGGTGTTCTAGCATCTGGGATACTTGGACTGCTGATGTCTTGCATGTCACTTACACTAGTAAGCAACAACAGAAGTGTATTTATTGACAGTCTCTTGAGGAACCAATAGCCACTAGTACATATGACATTAGGAGGCATCTTGGTGGATAGAGTGTTGACCCTGGAATCAGGAAGACCTGAGTTCAAATCTAGCCTCAAACATTTACTAGATGTATGACCTTGGGCAAATCGCTTAATCTCTGTTTCCTTTAATCCACTGGAGAAGGAAATGGCAAACCACTCCAGTATCTTTGCCAGGAAAACCCCATGGACAGTATGGTCCATGGGGTCACACAGAATTGGATATGACTAAATGACTGAAAAACAACACCACATATAACATTGGTTATGACTAAAAGTTATTTGTCTTGTCATTCTGTATTATGCTTGATTTATGAACTTGGTAGGTAGTTAAAGAGAGAGGCTCTGTTTTGTGAATATTTATAATGTTTATTACTTGATACAGAATGGTTATAATTGTTAGCTATTTAAAATTTTTTGTTTTTGGTGAAATAACCTATAATTGTGGTTTTTTTGTAGGTTTTTATTCACAATCCTTATGCACGTCGCCAGCACCTAAATACACCTCGTCTTCTCCAGAGCCCCCTTGATGCAGATGTTTCCCTTCTCAACATTAACCAGCCAGTCAGCTGTCTTACAGCAGGAGTGTTAAACCCTGAACTAGGACATGATTGTCTTCTTGTGGGAACCCAGACTAATCTTTTGGCCTATGATGTTTACAACAACTCAGATTTATTTTACAGAGAGGCAAGTAGTTTATGGTAGTTAATTCCCATTACCTGTTTATGCACATCACTTTTTATAAACCACAGGGAGCCTGACAAAAATCCCTTTGTGGCACCCATTCCCTCTTTCATAATCACGTGCGTAATGAAAGCAAGATACACTGACAGCAGTGAAAATGACAGCTCACACTCAGCCTGTGAGGGAGGAAACAATAAAAGTATAAAACATAGGCACAAGAACTCGAAAAACCACAGTCCTCAAATGTTAGGGCCTGCAGTCCTATGGACCTCCATGGGCCCTGAGAGTATCTTGGTAGTACTTTGATACATTGTTACCTTAGTGATTCATGATGTCATCGGTGTGAATACTCCCTTTACCTGCCAACTGCTGACCACCCCTTTACTCCCCAATACCTTACTAGATAGTACTCATGAGTTGCCATGTTTGATAAATTAATCACCCTGAGACAAATTTGGTGATGAGGGTGTCCTTGGACAACAGGCATATAGTCTTGTGCTTGAAGTCATCCAGCCTTCCAGGGTAAATCCAGGTTGGATTTACCAGAGCATGTTCTATGTTGGCAGAATGTTCTAGAACCCAGGGTTACTTTCATATCATCATAAAGTATTGAAGGAGGACTTGAGTGGATGCTTGTTGTAGTGTAAGAATTAAAGACCCTGATAACATCAAGAAAAGGTTAAATTCTGTTCAGTGTTCTCTGTTTAAAAAGGCAGATTTATGCATAATACATTTTAGAAAAATTTCCATCCACAATGGTTAAAAATAAAAATTTTTAATGAGTGAAAGGATAGAGTCAGCCACCTAGAATGATTTATTTTCCACGGGTTCTGATGGCCAAGGCTTTACTGTAGCAACCCTTTAATAGAGCTAAGAGAGTAGAAGACTAAGTTTAATCTTGGTGCTATCTTAGGCTTGAGTAAGCCACATATTTTCTGTGTCCTGGATTTCCTTATTGGCAATCCTGATCTACATCTAATGCTATGAACTGCTATTTATTAATGATTATTAGATAATTTGGGAGCTGTAGATATAAAATAATGCATATTTAAATGTAGATGTCTCATTAAATGTGAGTCATTTTTCTTTTTCTTTAGGTTATAGATGGCGCAAATGCAATAGTACTTGGGACATTGGGAGATATTCCATCACCTCTTGCGATTGTTGGTGGAAACTGTGCCCTTCAGGGCTTTGATTATGAAGGAAATGATCTATTTTGGACGGTATGAAGCTTAAAAAGTTAATTTTGTGTTCCTCTAAGAATTTTGATTTTGGTAAAGAATTGTTTTCACTATGATGTTCTTTAAATATTTCATGACTCGTTGGGCTTGTTGGTGCACATCTATAAACCCAGCTTCTGGAGAGGCTGAGGATAGGGAATTTTTTGGCTCAGAAATTCTGAGTTGCAATAGGCTAAATCAATCGAGTGTCCACACCGAGGCCAGCATCAATATGGTGAGTCTCTGTGAGTGTGGGGCAACCAGCATTCCTGGCCAAAGCTCCTGTGCTGCCCGTCAGCTATAGAATTGGATCTGTGAATAGCCCCTACCTTTTCAGCTTGAGGGAGACGATAGGGAGAACTAGTTTTTGTATGTGTGTGTGTGTATATCTATAGCTGTATCGATCTATATACACACACATATATAAAGTGTGTATATATATGTCTATATATACATCTCTCTGTCTCTCTCTCCATCTGTCTATTTATTGTGTGGTCTGGTAATAACAACACTAGACCTAAGCCAGAAGCTTGAGTTTTAGGCCTGTCTCTGCTCTGACTCTTGACTACCTGTGTGGCCATAGGCAAGTCACTTACTATCTCCGAGCATCAATTTCTTAATCTACAAAACTGGACTAATAATACTTGTAGTGCCGACCTCCCAGGGTTGTTATGGAAATAAAATGGGCTAATATATGGGAAGTACTTTGTAAACTTTAACATTTTTATAAAAATATCAGTTGCTACCATTGTTGTATGCATTGTAATTAACCTGTTGAGTAGACTCAAACCTGGTTACAGTTATATTTGTTGTTCTCTACATGGAAAAAGAGACTGCTACCCTATGGCTCTTTATTAAATCCTCTTATTTTTCCATATGGCAAAAATAGATGTATTAAATGAGACAAGAGGGAACTTTAACTATTCTTAGTTTTATTTTAAAGCCAAATATTGGTTTTATTTTAGGTTACTGGAGACAACGTTCATTCCTTAGCATTGTGCGACTTTGATGGCGATGGGAAGAAAGAGGTATGTGGGGGAAGAGATTCTTCTCCTGTGTATCCAGCTGAAAAATTTTCTTGTGACAGTGATATTAGTGTTTAGAGATGAGTGTTATATTTCTAATTTTTTTTTGTTACCCTGTTAATAGGTAACAGGCCTCATTTGACCTTCCCTATTCTGATCAATTAGATGCCTAGTTTGTATACCTGTTTTTTAGATCTGGATTATGTTGTTTTGAAATAGAGGATTAATATCTAGAGTCTAAAAGAGTTAAATGAGCCCTAATCACAGGGTTTTGTAATGTGCTTCTGATGCCTTAAAAACTGAATTAGTGGGTATTCTTAGTTTTGGCCAACTTTCAGTTTTCCTTTAAATATTTTGTCTGTCACAGATTTGAGAAAAAATAAATTAAGATGTATTATGAGGCTTTAAACTCATGCATGTGTAGAAGAGCACCTTGGTGCTTGAATAATGACTCTCCAACTTGTCCATGGATAGTGAGCTCTGGTTTTAGATACAGTGATCCCATTCATAGGGAGCTGCTGACAAATGAAAGGAGCTGACCAGAGAACATTTTGGGTGCATATTGTGAGTATGCAACTAGGCTTTCCTTATTCTCCACTTGCCAGGACAGCTAGGTGGGCTCTTCTAATCACATGTTTCAGGCCTTGAATTAGAGATAAAAGTATTTAGCCTCAGATAGTGTGTATGTTTGTATCTTAGGTGGAAAGAATGCCCTACAAAGTGCTATCATAATTTTATTATGTATCTGGTGTAACCTTTACCTGTTCCCTGGAAGAATTAAGTAAATGTGTTCTTTTTATTTTAGCTTCTTGTTGGGTCTGAGGATTTTGACATCAGGGTTTTTAAAGAAGATGAAATTGTGGCAGAAATGGCAGAAACAGAGGTAAGAGAGAACCTAAAAATGGGTCAGTGTTATTTGAGAATTAGCCTGAAACAGGCACAGCAAAGTCTGTTATGGCTTTAAGATGAGCTGTGCTCTTCATTACAGAGAAACAGTGATTTGAGAAACCTATTTAAATTGTTTGCTTTATAGATGAAGTAAAGCAGAAACAAGGAGTGTACCTGAACAAATGTTCAGTATTTCTTTTGGGTTTGGGGTAATATGATAATGAGATAGAATGAAGTTCTCAGTGTGAGCTTTTAAATTAGGGATAAGAAGAAACAGTGGGTTGCCCATCACTGGATTTCTTCAAGTGGAAACTGGATGACAATTTCTTGGAATATTGTCGAGAAGTCCAGTAGGTGTCCAGGGTCAGGCTCTGCTTCCCTCAGTGGCTCCTTAGAAGGCCAGGATCCAGGCCCCAGGCACAGCCAGAATCTCTAGCCTCTTGCTTCTTTGTCCCAAGGTGAGAGGGGAAGAGGAGAATCAGAATTCCAAGACAGGGGAGCCCTAGAAGACAGGGTATGCCTTTCTCAGCAGCCCCAGGGGCCAGAGAGCCTAGGCCAAGGTTGGACTAGATGACTTCAGAATTCTCTTCCATCTGAGATTCTGTAAAAGGTTGACTGAAGTAAAAAGGAAGTACTAAAGAATGAATAAGGAACTAATAGACATTGTTGTACATGCATATTGTATAGGGCAGACCAGACTTGGAGTCCTGTCTCAGAATGGCTGTGTGACTCTGGACAAGTTACTTGACATCACTGTGCCTCAGTTTCCTTATCTGTACAATACGGGGTTGAATTTGATGTCTTTTTGAGTCCCTTTCACCTCTAAATCTATGAGTCTGTGGATTTTAATGTGAGATTCTGGGGAAAATAAGATCTAATTTGTTAAAATGTGGAATCTATGGAAATGTTGGTCTACAGGCCATTTCCCATCTCTTTTAGTAAAGTTCATTGCTGGTCCAATTGTTGGCATTTCCTACTCGGAAGAATCATAATTCATTTGGCAGATAAACAGTGCTAAGAATTGCCAAAGAGTACCCCGAGCTAAGTCATTCTGTTATCTGACATTAATGCTCTATGTTTAGAATTAAGTGAAGTGGGTGGGTTAGCAAAAATGATGTAGGTGGGAAGGAAGTTATATAATATAAAAAATGGATCATGTTGATTTCTTTATCTATTTTTGCATCAGAGTTAGAATTAGAAAGCAAAACTTTAGGATCATATGATGTTAATATTAAGGTTAAAGTTTTAACTTAAAGGGAAAATTCAACTTAGCTCTAAAAGATATCTTTTTATGGATGATTTCTTTGCAATAATATTATATACAGATATGATATATGCATACTGAATATAAATGTAAACATGTACATTTTGTTTCTCACTTTAAAGAACATTTCAATGCATTTTTTTTTCTTTTTGGTGAAGCAGTTGGGGTTAAATGACTTGCCCAGGGTCACACAGCTCATAAGTGTCATGTCAAGTGTCTGAGGCCAGATTTGAACTCAGATCCTCCTGACTCCAAGGCCAGAGCTCTATCCACTGCACAACCTGGCTGCTCCTTCAATTAATTTTTTTCAAAGAAATAGCTAAGTAGTATATCTCACACACACATGAAAGTTAGATTTTTAAATTTAGGATTGCTATAAGGTATCCTTTATTATGGATTATAATGTTATTATGGAAATACATTATTGTGGAAATCAATAGGTTAGAAGAACCTTTGAATATGTATAACATATTGTCCATATTATAAATCTTGTTACATATGCATTTAGTTAGCACTTCCTTTTTAGTTTCACAGTTTTCACTTAGTAATTTGCCAGAACTTTTACTACTTACTATTGCTATAAGGACAAAATTTTGTAAAATTATATTTAAATCTGATCAGCTACTTCTGAGGTAGAACTATACTAGGCATGTGCATTCAAGTCTAATTTTAACACAAATGTAGCAAAATATGCAATTTTGTGTCTTTGTTTTGCTTCAAATAGAATTTCAGTGATAAAACATGTGATATGTTTCTTTTGCGTCTGCTTTTTATAGACAATTACTTCTCTTTGTCCAATGTATGGCAGTCGTTTTGGATATGCTCTTTCTAATGGCACAGTTGGTGTTTATGACAAAACAGCGCGATATTGGAGAATTAAAGTTAGTATGATTCAGCCTCTGATGTTCTGCAACTTTGTACTTTCTATTGAGAGAGTTGCACTAATTGTTTCTTTCTTTTCTTTAGTCTAAGAATCATGCAGTGAGCATTCATGCATTTGACCTTAACTCTGATGGAGTACGTGAACTAATCACTGGTTGGTCTAACGGAAAAGTAAGTTTAAATAGAATTTAGTTATTCAGTATAATTTCCCAAAACTTACTGGTTAAGAATCAGAACACACAGCCCCTTCAAGAGACAGGTGTAACATGTAAACATGAGTTGAGTGGCACACTGTTTCAAGTTCAGCTGAATGGGAACTTTGAGGAAATTGGCTGAATGAGAGGTCATATCTAAGCCCAGCTCCCCACTTTGATCTAAAAATAGCAGGAATGGCACCAAAACAACAAATAGTAAAGAAAGGATAAAAAGAATATTATCTGAAGAATGGCATGACAGAAAAAATAAAAATGAGTTGACATTGAAGAACAGGTTCCAAGACATTGCCTAAATAATAGAATAAAGAAATCAATTTGAAAATTCCTAATGAAAGGGGAAGTACTATGGCAGCTATCGTGAGGACAAAATGATAGCTAAAAATGACAAGAATCTCAAAAATGTTTCAGAAGAACAAAAAGAGAATAAAAGAAAGATGGAAATTAAGATTAATAGAGATCTCAAAGAAATAAAAAAACTAACAAGTGAGTAGATGATTTAGAGTAGAACTGTCAAACTCATGGCCAGGGTGCAGCTGGCAGAACTCCCTAGTACATCAAACCAAATTAAAATATAATTGGGAAATCCTTAACCAAATCAATTAAAATACAATAAAACATAGATAAACATTACTTTGTGGTTTTCTAAGTCCATGTCCACAGGGATCCCTTTCTATGTGAATTTGATACTACTGATTTAGAGCAAACAATGGAAAATCTTCCCCAGATAGTAAGTAATCTTAAAAAGAGATTGGCAAATTTGGAACTTAAAAAAAAAATGCAGAGATGGAAGAAAAATGGACAGAACAGAATTAAAAGAACACTTGAGATATTTATATGTCAAGGAAACTGACACTGAACTTGAAGTCAGAATGTATAGAGAGAATCTAAGAATTCAATTCAATTTAATTCAACAAGCATTTATTAAAAGCTATGCAACAGGCATAGGATAGGCTTTGGGAATACAAGGACAAAAATGAAACAATACTTGACCTCGAGGAGCTTACATTCTGCTGAGGGGAGGGGAAAGAATATACATAGAAAATTAAATATTTAATATGGACAAAGCAACTCCCTTAGGGGGTGGGGAGAGAGAATCAGTGTAGCCTTCCTACAGGAAATAGATCATTGGTCTTCTAGAAAACAAGATGAAATAAAAAGCCTAAATGCCATATTTCAGTAAATCACGAAAGAAAACTATGTAGAAGTATTAGAAACAAAGGTCAAAGGCTAGGCTGATAGAATCTTCAAGATAGTAACAGGAAGAAACAGTAAGTTTAATCCACCAATAAACATCACTAAGCTTTAGAACCTCAGCATTAAATAACAAATATTACAGATATCCAGGAAAAAGAGTATGATTTGCTCAAGACTCCTCCTTGTTTATGAGAAATCAAAGGAGAAGTTGAAATGTGATATTCTGAAAGCAAAGATTAGCTAGCCTACCAAAACAATAAACTCTTAAAAGTTAATCTGATTGGTTCATCAAAGAAAAATTATGTATATTAAATAAAATAGAGGAATTTGAGTTGTTTCTTCAACCCCTTTTGAATCATGACTCAAACATAAGATAGCAACAAAATAGTGAGAATTTTTAAAAGTGCTGATTTTTTGTTTATATATCACATTTATTTCTGAATATATCCTTTCCCTTCTTTACCCACTCAGTCACTTTTTTCTTTTTAAAAAAAATTTTTTTAAGGAAAAAAAGCAGTTTAGCAAAAGTAAACAACACACCAATCTCAAGACTAAGAAACTAAATCAGTGTTTATATGCTTCTAGGGCTCAGGTAGGCTATTTAAAAAAAAAACAAAACAAAACTCAAACCTTGTTTGAGGGCTATTGAGAGGTCAAAGTAAAAGTATCTAAGGGCATACTTCTTTTTCAAAAAGAGTAAAAGTAACCAGGAGGAGGAAAGGGGGAAGAATTGAATTCCTAGTTCTCACACTAGAACCCATAGTCCCTCATTAACAAAGTAACGTTTTTTAGAGTGGGTATGTTCAGAGGAAAGTTTTTCAGACAATCTCATTCCCTGATGGTTGGGGAAAGGATCTAAAAGCTGTGGTCCTTTGGGTCTCTTGTCCTGCCTGCTGGCATTGGAAGAGATAAAAGAGAATAATGGAGAGGCAGAACCTGGTGGAGCAAGCAGGTGCTGGAAAAGCAGCAGGGCTTTATTCCGCCTTTGGTGAGAGGAGGTTTAGTGAGACATTACAGTATGTTTTCCAAAGATGGGTGTATGGGGATGCAAGTTCGTTTCATCAAGAGACAGTGAATTACTTGATGGGAGGTGGGCTTCTTAGGACCATTTCTGACCCCAAAGAAAGGGGAGTTCGTGACATAAAGAGGAAGTGGGCAGGGAAAAATAGGTCCGTACAGATAATATGTTGGTTTCAAGATGGTCATGTGAATGGGGACAATGTGAGAAAAATCTGTAATCATATTTTAATAGACTAGATAGAGAGTAAATTTTTATGTTCTATGTAATCCACATTGTTCTGTTGTTGTTTTTTTAATCAGAGTCATAGAATAACATTTAAGTACAATTCCCTGAATGAAAGATTAGATTCTAAAGTTTCCTTGAAAAGGAAGAGGGTAAATCAAGGGATCAAGGGATAAACTTAACATTCTGTAGAAACAGTCACTGTCTATGAGTGTTGTTCATATTAAGAAATTGGATGATTGAGGTATGAGGCAAGGAGGGAGGAGGGTAAAGGGTAAAGAGTAAAGGAGAAAACTGATGAAGGCAGATTCTAGGACTTGGGCTTGGCCTGGATCCTCTGATACTACCACCACTTTAGTTCAGGTCCTTATCACCTCACACCTGCTTGATTTCATTAGTCTATTGGAGGGTCTGCCTGCCTCCAGTCTCTCCCCACTCTAACCCATTTTCCATTCAGTCACCAGTGATTTTTGTAAAGCGCAGGAACCATGTTACTTACCTACACAGTAAACTCCAGCAGCTCTCTATTGCCTCTAGGATCAAATGCAAAATCCTCTGTTTGGTGTTCAAAGTCCTTCATAGTAAAGATTAATAAATGCTTATTGATTCAGTAAAGAGAATATATCTTTATCAATGTAGCTTTTTAAAAAAAGTAATAATTTCTTAAGACAGGAAGAAGTATTAAACATTTATTTAGAGAAAACATTGTTAGGGGGTCTGATGATAGATTTCACTAGCTTAGGTAACTCCTGATGATGGAATTCTTTTTGCCTCTGAAGACTAACAACAACTCTGGAATGTATGGTCATCAAGAATTATTTGGGGGCAGCAAGGTGGTGCAGTGGATAGAGCACCGGCCCTGAAGTCAGGAGAACCTGAGTTCAAATTCAGCCTCAGACCAAACACTTGACACTTACTAGCTGTGTGACCCTGGGCAAGTCACTTAACCCCAATTGCCTAAAAATAAAAATAAAAAAATATTAAAAAATAAATAAAATGTTCTGCATAAAAAAAGAAACTAATTGAGATGATTAATAGCTTAGCAAAGAATCTAAAATAAGTACACAAATATCATCAGGACTTATGTGTATTATGAACAAAAATCAGAGGAGAACAATATAAAGAGAAATCATATTAAAAATGACTACAAAATACATAAAATATCTGGAGTTAACCTGCTTAGTCACAGTCAGGATGTACATAAATACAACTATACAATGTTTTTTTTTTTTACATAAATCAAGGAAGCCAAACAGGATAAACAATTGGAGAGACATTCGTTATTCATTCTGGGTCATGCCAATACAATGAAAATGATGATATTGCCTAAAGTAATATGCAAGTTTAGTCATATACCAATCAAACTACAGACTGTAGAAGTAGATTTAAAAATTCATGTTGATTCAAAAAAAGTCAAGAGTTTCAAGGGTAATTTTGGGGAGGGAGGAGAAAAGGATGAATTAAAGGGTCTTAGCAACATTATCTTTAAGCAATGATTGGCAAAACTAATTAGTACTGGTTAAATATAGAAAAACTGATCATTGGAACAACATAGATAAGCAGCACAAATTATGAAGGAGAAACTTCCTCTTGAACAAGTACTGGGAAGGCTAGAAAGTAGTTTGGCAGAAAATAGATTTTGATCAGTATAACATATTATATATCACCATAGTTACAAAAAGGTAAGCAATCTAAATATAAAAGTTCACATCTTAAAAAATTAAATGAGAATGGAAGGAGGTACTTTTTACAACTATAATTAAACAGTAAATCATAATGAAGGGATAGAATAAGACAAGCTATTGACTGGGAAAAAAAAATAAAACCAGAACTTCTTTTGCAACAAAAAGCTCTGAAAAGTCTGACACACAGTGTGAGGGGAATTGGTATAAATATATAAGGTTGAGCCATTTTCCTTAGCCTTTCCCCCCAAACTTTATCTATTTACACAAACATCCACTGTTTCTTCCTCCTACTCTCCTCCCCACTTTTAATCAACAAAATGAAAGAAAAACAAAACCTCATAATAAATACATATAGTCCAATAAAACAAATTTTCACATTGACTACATCCATATTCACTTTGCATTTCAAGTCTACTACCTCTCTGGCTGAAGGTGGGCAATGTGTTTCATCTTTAGTCCTCTGAGGTAATGGTTTATCACCACATTGATCAGGGTTCTAAAGTGTTTCAAAGTTGTTTTTTTATGCTATAAATTGTTCTCTTAGTTCTACTCATTTTATTCTGCATTAATTCATAGATTTCTTCCCAGTTTACTCTAAAACTGTCCACTTTATGGCACAGTAATATTTGTTGCATTTCTTTTCCACATTTTTTTAGCCATTCCCCAGGGGGGTTATTGCTTTAGTTTTTTGCTTTTGGCTGCTATGAAAAGAGCTGTTGTAAATATTTTTGTATAGATAATTCCTTTTTTTCTTTACTTGATCTCTTCAGGCTGTAGCAGCCAAATCAAAGGGTATGCACAGGGGCGGCTAGGTGGTGCAGTGGATAGAGCACC